CGGAATTTTCACCCACAATCTAGGCCTAATGGTGAAGAACACGTGTATTAAGTTCATGGAAGTGGAATTAAACTTTGTGAATGAACTTTTCAACCACTTCTCTCCAGCTTTTCATGTCAATTAGTCTTTTGGTTCTAAAACTTCACTAAAGGAATTTGCACATTTTTGGAAATTTCTTCCTTATTCCCTCTTGGCAGGTAATTGGCCTTTTACCAAGTTTAAATACAAAAGTATCATAACAACAAAATGTTAATAACTTCTCCTTTTCCCACTCTGGTGCAATAGTGCACTGCCCCCTGGCCAGCCCCCTGGGAGAGAAAGGCATTTTTTTAATTTCCCCCCACCCCAGAGGTGGGGGTTTGATCAGAAAAAAGTAGTGTGGTCCATATAAAATTGTAGTATTAAACACACACACACAAAATAAAAACCTTAAAAGCCCTAGCCAGTATGGCTCAGCAAATACTAGTATAGCGCCAGCCTGCAGACCAAAGGGTCCGGGTTCAATTCCAGTCAAGGGCATGTACCTTGGTTGCAAGCTCCTCCCTGGCCCCGGCCCAGGACAGGGTTCCTGCAGGAGGCAACCAATTGATGTGTTTCTCTCACATTGATGTTTCTCTCTCTGTCTTTCCCTCTCTTATCCACTCTCTCTAAAAATCAATGGGAAAATATCCTCGGGTGAGGATTAACAAATAAATAAATAAATGAAATCGTAGTACATGGTATTTTCTAACTTCAGAAGCCGAAATGCTCTTGGCGCACCTGACACTGGGTAGAATTCACCATTGGTTCTGTGCCTCCAGCCACTTTGCTTTCAAGAGTTTCTTGATCCTGGTAGCCTGCCTTCAACTTTGGTCCTTTCTTCTTCCCGCTTGTCAGGTCACAGGATCCCCTCTTAGCCCTGTGTCCTGTCACAGCCGTCCTGCCTGATGGGCCAGCGCTTGGGAAAAAGGCCACAGGATCCTTCTGGCTCCACTGTGTCTAAGGATTCCCTGCACCCCTCACTGCCCCCCTCTCCCCCCCACCCCCGTCCTATTTACTGCAGCAAATCCCTGCCTGGGTGGGATTGTGTTCCCTCCCTGGGAGCTGTACCTACCCAGCATGTCTGCCTTTGGCTGCCTTTAAAGCCTTCCTCTTCTTCTCTCCCTTAAACAATGGGGCTGAGGTGTATCCAAAGCTCGCCCTGCAGACCATTTCCTCAGTCCCCCCAAACCGCAAACTGAAACACCATGTAAAAGAGGTGTGTGTTTTTCTTTTAGAATGTAAGCTCCCTACAATCCAATTTAAACATGGGCAAAGGACCTAAATAGACTCTTCTCCAAAGGGGACATACAGATGGCCAAGAGTCATATCAAAAAGTGCTCAAAGTCATTGGTCATCAGAGAGACGCAAATTACAACGACAATGAGGTACCACCTCACACCTGTCAGAATGGCTACCATCAGCAAATCAACAAATGACAAGTGCTGGAGAGGATGTGGAGAAAAGGGAACCCTAGTTCACTGGTGGTGGGAATGCAGACTGGTGCAGCCATTATTTAAAACAGTATGGAGTTTCTCCAAAAAATTAAAGAGGGAACTGCCATTTGACCCAGTGATCCCACTTCTAGGAATATATCCTGAGAATCGCAAATCACCAGTCAGAAAGAATGTATGCACCCCTGTGTTCATTGCAGCACAAATTATAATAGCTAAGATCTGGAAACAGCCCAAGTGCCCATCAGTAGATGAGTGGATAAAAAGCCATGATACTTTTACACCACGGAATACTGTGCAGAAGTAAAAGAGAAGAATCTCTTATACTTTGAGACAGCATGGAGGGACCTGGAGAGTATCATGCTGAGTGAAATAAGTCAGTCAGAGAAAGACACGTATCCCATGATCTCACTCATATATGGAAACTAAGGTAACAAAATAAACTGATGAACAGAGTGGATGCCGACACATGGGAGCATGGAGCAGAGTGGGGAATCTCAGTGGGAAGGCGGGGATGGAGGGTGGGTGGGGCTAATCAACCAAAGACCTTGAATGCATATATGCAGGACCCGAGGACACACATGTCACAGCTTTGGGGATATTAAAGTGTGGAAACACATGTGCATCACAGATGAAATACAGCCAGAGTCCAGGGGGGCGGCCTCCCTCTCTGATCCAGGGTCCCATGGCCCACACCTTCCCTGGGAAGGAAGGATGAGGGTTCACCAGGACCCACAGGCCTCCGCTCACACTCGTGCCAGGTGTCTGTGTGAGGAGAGGAGAGGGCACTGTCACCAGAGGACTGGGGGAGCGAGAAGGGCGCTCTGTCAGTAGAACGTGGAAAGCCACCGCCACCCACAGAGCCTGCAGGTAACAAAGCCACAGCCCAGCCTTGCCTGTCAGCCCCTGGCCCACTGATCTAGGTCACAGAGGATGGCAAGCAGAGGGCCTGTCCTACCCGCTCCCCATTCCTCAGCTCCCTGTGTTCAGAGACGGACTCACCAAGGAATGGAGGGTGAGAAGGAGAGGGAGAGAGGGTGTAGGGGCCTGACACCTGGAGCTGTCAGCACCCAGGCAGGGAGGTGGGTGCTGTGGGAGGGGCCACGAGGCCCAGGGCCCAGGAGAACCCAAGGGAGGAGCATGGCTGCAGCCCAGGGACTCAGGGAGCCTGCGGGGGAGGGGAGTGGGCATCTGTGCCAGGGCTGCCAACAAGCCCTTTACCCCCCCAGCAGGCGTGGGGAGTGCTGGCCACTGACAGCTCCCAGCTGAGCCCCTCCTCCTGTGAGTGCTCTTGGCTGAAGGGAACCTCCTCTCTCAAGGTCACCCCATTTGCTGGGCCAGCTTGCATCCAGTGACCGGTACGTGCACAGCATAAAAGACACTCCCATCAACCCCGTGGGACCTGGTGCAGGGGCTGTGGATGGAGCCCAGTCAGTGGGGCTGGGACATTTGACAGGTGACACAGCTGCTGGGGACCCACGTTTGACTAGGGCAATGCAGGCCCCCTTCCGATGTGCAGAGGCAAGCACATTTGAACTCCAGAAAAGGCTGAGTTGGCCCCACTATAGGTCTGTATCTGACTGCATGTATGCGAACAAGAATGCATGTTGCATATCCATGTGTGTGCACGGAGGTCTGAGAAGGCTTATGTGACATGTGGTTATGAGCGTGCATGGATGAGTGTGCATGGAGGCGTGAGTGTGTGCATACAGGCCCCCATGTTCACCAGTGAGCCTGTGTGAGGGTTCAGACAACTCACGGAGGCACCTCCCCCTGTGCCCTCTCCCTCGCCAGCTCCAGGCTCTCCCTGGGCTCTGATCCTCTCCTAAGCTGTTAATGCAGCTCCTTCTCCTCACATCTCAGCCTCTTCCAGGAAGCCTTCCTTGGTGAAGCCAACCCAAATTCCAAGTGTTCTGTTTTAAATATATATATTTTTATTGAATTCAGAGAGAACGGTGAGGGAGAGAAAGATAGAAAGTTCAATGATGAGAGAGAATCATTGATCGGCTGCCTCCTGCACACCCCACACCGGGGATCAAGCCCGCAACCCAGGCTTGTGCCTTTGCTGGAATCAGACCCGAGACCCTCCAGTCTGCAGGCTGACACTCTATCCACTGAGCGAAACCAGCCAGGGCCCAGCCACTCTCTCCTGTCATGGTGTGTTCTCACCAATGATTTACGTGTTCGCTTGGCTCTCTGTTTCTTTTGTCCCCATCAGACGGGAGCTTCCTGGGGGTGGGGTTGTCCCAACAGGAGCCTGGGAGGTGCCCAAGCACGGAAACTGCTTTTAGGCCCACAGGGGACTGGACTCCTCCTGACTCTGTCTCCCAGACTGAGCTCCTGAAGCCTGGGAGGGGGAGGGGAGCCGGGGACCACATGGCCTGCACCAGCCCCTTCCTGGCTCCTGATGACCTGGGGGAGTCACACCGAGCAAGCTGTGGGCCTGGGTGGGAACCTGGGTCTCCATCCTGACTTGTGTGACTTGGGAGGCTCTGGGCTTCTGGGCTCAGGTGCCTCCTCCGCATGTGAGGGGTTCGGAGGCGGCCTAGGGCCCTTGGCCTGCACAGCTCTGTTGGCGCCCAGTCTCCTAGGTCCTGTGCAGCTCCTTTCTTCCTACTTCCTGTCCTTGAAGGCTGTAAGCCAGATGATCTCACTCCATATTTAATTGAGGAACATTTTACAAAGAAATGTGGGCAGAGGCGAGCTAAGGTGCTCAGCAGACAGCGAGGGTTGAACACACAGGGACAAGGAGGGATGGAGCTAAGGTTCTGCAGTCAACACTGGGGCCTCCAGGTCCAGGGCAGGGAGTAACCAGCAGGGAGGAGCTGCTGCCCATCAGGAGCCAGAACCCAGCCAGAGCCCGAGGTGGCTCTCCTTGTGGAGTGAGAGCCCAGCAGGAAACCTCTTCAGGCTGCCAAGCGGCCAGACAGAAGGTTCTTTCCTGCCCATGTCGCCATGGCCACCTCAGCTCAGGAGTCCTGCAGACAGAGGACAGTGCTGCTCCCAGGCCCAGCCAGCAGGGGCGCTGCCCTCCCAGGCCTCCAGTTGTGGCCCCCAAGTGAGAAGAAATGTCCTGAAGTCTCAGGAGCCAAAGCTGCTTTAGAGCTGCCTCTCACCAGGCGGGAGGAGACCCTGCAGGGCAAGCGGCCACCAGAGCCACACCCAGGCTCCCCGCTATCTGTCCCCTGGCTCATCCCCTGCACCTTCTGTTCTAGGGAAATGGAATACGTCCCTGAGAGAGGATTAAAGAAATCCACAGTGACGTCTGAATAAAAGTGTGTGGGAGCTTGAGCCCTGGCTGCTTTCCATGGTCCCCACAGTGATCAACGCCCATAGCCTGAGCTCATTCATTAGAATGAACAACAGCTCACCTCCAAGGTGCACTGACGTGGTGTGTCCCTGGCCTGAGCCAGGGGAGGGCACAGGGCCCTCAGAGTGTCCAGACTGTCCTGGGAAGCGAAGGAAGATGATACTTAAAATATAGGAATGAAAGTGTGACCTCAAACACTGGGTCCCCGCCCAGGCCACCTGAGCTTCTCTAGCAGCACCCCCACTCGCTGACACCAGAGCAGGGACAAGAGCAGAAGCTGAGAGCAGTGGCCCAAAGCCGTCACATCCAGTGTCATTAGGGACCACAGGGCCTGCTCCTCCATGTAACCCAGGATCTGCACCCAAATCCCGTGCGTGTTAACCCGTCTCTAACTCCACAGCCATGACTCCTCATGTCTCCACCCTGAGAACCGGGAGCTGGTTATTTCTGCATTTCCAGGGAACGTGAGACCCACAGACAAAGAGAGGCTTCTAGGGCATTGCCATACCCAGAGCTCACCCAGCAAAGCCCCAGTTCTCCCCACCATCTCGGGGCCTCGGCTGCCAGCAGGCTCCTCACCTTTCTGAGCCCTGAAGTAGATGAGCAGCCCTGCCCCGAGGAAGAGCAGCCCCAGCACGAAGCCCCCGGCTCCACTCAGCACCTTGCTCTGTGCGGATCCAGACTGGGCCCCTGAGAGAAGAAGCTGGTTTCAGTGGGTTTTGGCACAAAGCAACTTCTCTAATGGAGACCCTGGGATTGAGAGCTTGTGGGGCAGAGGGGGGTTGGCGACTGGGGAAGCTGCCCTAGAAGAAGCAGAACAATTGCCATTTCCAGGAAAGAGACTGAGGTCACACTGAGCAGGTACAAGGCCCAGGCACTGGCCTCAGGTCCCCTCACATCCGATCCAAAGCCACTGCTTCGGCCTCTGAGGCTGCAGAGCCTGAGACTAGTGACCCTCATTACTTGGCCCGGGTGACAGAGCCGCAGACTGCAGAGCAGGAAGGTCCCCACACTGTGGAGGACACGCCTCTTCCCAGATCACAGTGGGCAGCTCAGCGCAGGCAGAAGCACCTGCCCATCCCAACAGGGGATGGTGCCCAGGGCCAAGGGGCACCATGATGGGGAGAGTGTGGGGAATTCAGAGCAGGGCAGGCATGGCGGCCTCCCAGGGCTATGGGTGTCCACAGAAGCGATCACAGGGCTACCCTGTGGCCTGTGCTGAAGGGGAGAAATGAGCAAAGGAAAACGGGGTGTGGAGAGAGGGGACCCTGACCCTCAGGGACAAGCAAAGGCCTCTGAGGGGGGAGGCGTGTGAGGTCAGAAGGCGTCTCACTCCATTCCACGGTGACAGGGCTGGTGCTGCTGGGGTGCCGCACTTGGCAGGTGTAGACCTCCCCGCTCCGGGGAACTGTCTCCAGCATCACCAGGGTCTGGAAGGTCCAGTCCCCGTTCCGGATCAGGCCCGTGGACACCACCCCGGCCTCCTCTTCCTGGCCGTTGCGCAGCCAGCGGACCTCAATGTGGCCTGGATAGAAGCCGTTCACGGAGCAGACCAGGAGGTTGTGGTGCTGCAGGCGCTGGGTCTTTGCAGGATACACGGTCACTGTGGGCTCAGCTGGGACAGAGAAGGCGGAGGGAGACGTGAGCAAGAAAGGCAGGCCCCTGGGTGGCTCCCTTTCAACTTCATCTCCTGTCCCAGGCTCCAGGCCCAGGCAGGCCCCCCTCAAACCCGCCCTGTGGCCCCGCAGGAGGTAGTGCCATGAGACTTGAATCTCTGCCTACAGCCCAGGCCACTGGATTTGAGAGACGTTGAGGAAATTTGAGGGATTTTTCATGTCTTGAAACAGTTACTAATTGTTTAATCAAAGTGTTTGCAAATCTTTGCGAGGCACAGAGTGTGTGAGTTCCAGTGTGATTTCTGGAGCAGGGCTGCCTGGTCACATCCAGGCTGTGCCTCTTACTGGGTGATCCTGGGAGATCCTCTATGCTCAGCTCCTCACCTGCAAAGGGGGTGATAATACTAACTCACCGCTTAAGGACATATGAGGACCAATGGGCCTGAAACATGTACAACAGCAGCTGGAACACAGCCGTCACTATATGTCAGCTGTTTATCACATATGGAGAGAGAACATAAGGAAAGTCATGGTGAGAAACTGG